CTATCTATCTATCTATCTATCTATCTATCTATCTATCTATCTATCTATCTATCTATCTTCCATCCATCCATCTTGATAAACTGTATATCTACACATTAAAATTCTTGTATTGTTCCTAACGCTTAACATAATGAGAAAATATTACTGTCTTCCCAATCCAGAGATATTTCCCACTGTTAAAAAATGGCCACCTAGAATGCAAAAAGCTTCTAAAATAATAGAATCCTTTTTAAAATGTTACTAGAAAAACTGATTAACAAGTATGAATTCTAAGCATTAAATATTATGACAGCCAACATTTGAATTTAATTGAAGACTTTTTAAAAGTACTCGCTGAATATAAATTACTGGCAGGACAAATTGATTGCAACAGGAAGAAAGTGATAACACAAAAGCTGAACATATTATTTTAATTTCAAAACATCGTCTTAGTTATTTCAGGCAATGCTAATAGCTTGACTATAAGAAACATTGATCAGAATAATCAATTAAATGAAAGTGAGAAGGGATCAGTGTTTTGTATTTGGGCACTATCATAAATGTAACACACTCAAACAATTCAGTAAAAAAAAAAAAGGAAAAAGATATCAACTGCCAGTAAATCTCCTAAATCTATTAATGGAAAGAACATAAAATATACATATAAAAAATACAGTAGATCACATTGTGCCACACAAAAGGTAACAGTTCAAGTCAGCATTCTTTAAACACTAATTCAGATATAATAGTTGATCTTATTCATCAGGATCCAAGGCCTTCCTCCCCTCTCATGCCCACGTATGTCAAGGTTGTAAAATACCAAGCATAGAGCAACACAATTCATGTAGTAATGGCTGCCCATTAATCTCCAGCAAGATGAGGTTGAGCACCAGAACATTATATTACAACCAAGAATACATCAAAGCAAGACACCAGTTCAGAACAAAGAATATACTTGGGAATACATAGCTACATGGAACTTCTGAACAAAGACCACATCTCAAAATATACAATTATTTTGAATATATATTCTCAAAACATGAAATAAGCAGGACTCATGTGGACAAGGGACGTTAATCAGGAAAAGGCAAGGAGCGTACAAGAATGCTAGGAAATGGAAGTGCAATTTATGGAACAAGAATGGGGTTTTATACAAGAAATTACCGCCTTATTTTATACAAACATACATAATATAGGAATCTGAAAGTTTTGGGTTTAAAAGAGCATAGAAACCTCCCTGGATGCAAAAGGTCCCTAATTGTAGGTCTGTGTTCCTCATGGAGAGAGAACACATGGAACACAGATTGAGCTGGTGTGTTTTATTAGTCATCCTCGGCGTTCACTATACACCGTAGCAGAAGACCGCAGTATGAATTAGAAGTTCCTTCTCAGCAGGCAAAGAAATGCATTCCATATTCTACACATCTTAATCAAGCAACCATTGTGTACCGATTCTAAACACGTATGACTTTCCAGAAAGAATGAATGCAATGCTGAAGTCTGGAACTCTTACAAGCAACCATTCGCCCACAACTTTTAGTAATTACTAAGAACGTACATTCAATGTGAAGCTGAAAGGGAGATCTATTGCCACTATAGTATTGCTAAATAACTAATATTAACAGGGTGTTGTAGGCTTGCACAAATCCGCCCTTTCAGATAGTAATTTCTATAGGCTTATGAAACATTACCGGATTTTTAAAGAACTTCTATGATCGAAATGAACTGATAGAAGTGCCATGTAAACTGGTCAACCCCAACAGATTTATGTGCCAAATCCATACATTTTTGTTTTACCTATGCAACTTGACTTTGTTTCACAACAAGAAAGTGTTTAACTATTTTTTCCTCCTATGTTCTAATTCTGTACAATGCTTCAGATTCAGTTCTGAAGAAATGTTCTGAAATGTGTGGGAACACAAAGAAAGCACCTGCATGGAGACTCATCAAAGCAACCGTGTCCATTTCCAAGATCATGCTGCTCTGCAGGATTGTGCTACCCTAGCGCAATCCTAAGAACAGATGAAACTGCTTTAGTGAGTCAACACCAGGTGTTCCTTTCATATTCTTGTGCATTGTAAAACGTATCTTCTGAATCACAGCTTTAACGCTGCAAAATCCAACTGCGTTCCCTACAAAAGTTCTGAATCCAAAGTCTAAATCACCCTGAAAAATTGAGTGTGCAGGGTAAAAGCTAAAACCAAACAAGCCATTTTGTAGCATGTGTGTTGTCTGTCATCCCACTTAAGTGGCAGCTTTGAATTATGTCAGATGCTCTTTTTCAAAAAGCATCACCTCCAATAAGCAATGAAGGGGGCAGGTTAGGGATGTGCATCAATCCCGGAGAACCAAAGGACATTCTGCCCTCTCTTCATGCTGAAACTTCTGCCCCACCCCCACCCCCCCCGAAGCGTCATTCTGCGAGTAGAGGACACTGGAAGCAAATCCTCTAAACAGGAAGCAGACTAGATAATTTACGTTTGGAAGCCACAAATTCCTCCGGAACAACATAGGCCAAGAAGTCAAATGAAATTAAAGCACAGTCCAGAGGGAGACTCGAATGGGCTGTTTCCAAATTGGCAACCTCTACGTATCCCTGCTGGTGACCTACCAATGCCAGGTTCTTGCAACGGATGCAGCGTGAAGCAGAAGGAGATCAACTTTCTAGATTGGCATCTTTAAGGACACAAGACAGGATACCACACCAACATTGAAATACAAGTCAAATGTTGTTGTAAAAATATCTCATCTGTTTTATTAATATTATTTAGTTCTTTTAGAAAAGCAGTTAAAAAGTAACATGCTGGCAATTCTGATTAGGCAACTTTAAAAACAAAACAAAACTGAGAAACAATCAAAGTGGTTTGCACCTTCACAATGTTCCCAATAGGTGTTTTGTAAACCTGATGAATCAACTGTAGTCTCTGAAAACTCTGGACATGATCCAACCATTCCTCTTTAAAATAACCCACACTCTGTTTTCATCGCAACAGACATTGCCACCAATTTAGAAATGATGAAAATGCATATACAAAACTTGTAGCATAATCTAGAGTTTAAGACTAAGGGCATAAAGGTGTTTTTTTTTTTTTGGGGGGGGGGGAAAAAAAAGAATTTGTGCTTCTAGATTTAAGCTGTCAGAAGAGGATGGGCTCAAGAATACAACCTCATGAAATGCTCTTCCCAGTGAACCCATTGGAAGGGGAAAGGTCAAAAAAGCAGCTGAAACAACTCATGGGCAACAGCAATATTAATAGCTCTGTAGAAAGCAACTTGTTATGAAACTACAATCCAAAAATTCATCTCATGGGAAAATTTCGTATTTTTTTTTTTTTTTTTTTGGTAGATTACTCAGCGTGGGATATGGTTCTCCAAAGATTACTGAACTACATACCTCAAGGATGTCAAACTCAAGGCCTGTGGGGCTGCATCTGGCTCGCAGGGTGCTTAAATCTGACTCCTAGGACTGGTCTGGAAATAGCAAAGGACCGGCCCACAGTGCCTCTGGCAGCCAAAATGGGGCACGGGGGGAGGGGCAGCCCCATTTTGGCCAGCAGGGTGCTGCAGGAGGCATCCGTCCCATCTCCCCACCCCCACCCCTGCCGGCCGGCCTGCGGAGAACTACAGTGCTAATCCGACCCTCGAAGAAATCCAGTTTGATACCCCTGACATACCCCAACAACCCTAATCATCTTGTTGGGAGTTGTAGTTCAGGTACAGCGGCCAAGATATAGCAATAGCACGTAGACTTATATACACAGGGCTTTATAGTCCTCTCTAAGAGGTTTACAGAGTCAGCCTATTGCCCCCCAACAATCTGCCTTCTCATTTTACCGATCTCAGAAGGATGGAAGGCTGAGTCGACCATGAGCTGGTGAGAATCGAACTGCTGGCAGCCGGCAGAATTAGCCTGCCATACTGCATTCAGTGCGGTACCACGGCCCTCGGTCTGCTATGGGTCTGATGGTGAAGAGACCTAAGTTGAAGCTCACCCCCAGCCATGGAAACTCATGGAGTAACTTTTGGGATAACCATTTCCTCTCAGCCTGTGTAATCTGCCTTGAACCATCTGGAAGGGCATTCATCTTGGAACCAAATAAACACCCGGGAGGCCACAAGCTAAGTGGTGGCTTCTCCTCAACCCAGACTTTTCAAGAAAGCGAAGATGAGCTTCCCTCAAACTCCACTAAAATCTCCATTTTCTACCCAAGTACAAGTTTAACTGAGGAAGATATCAGGCACAGTAGTCAGAAAAGAAGCGTTCTGAAATGGCAAACCACAGCAATGCCTTCCCTGAGGGGAGCGGGGAGAGGGAGCAGTGGGGGAAGAGCTATCTTTCCTCACCTTTCTTCATCCTTGAAAATGAATTTCCGCAGCTTGAGATCCCTCAGGACCAGCCCGCCATCGTGACAGTGTGCTACAGCGGAGGCTATCTGATAGAACAGCTTGGCTGCCTCTTCCTCCTTCAGCTTCTTGCAGGTACGAACAAAGGAATGCATGTCCCCATAGCTCCGCTCAAAGAACACGTAGGCTTTCGTCTCTCCCAGAATGACTTCGGTAATTTGGTTGATGTTGTCGTGAGGAGGCAGGCAAAAACATGGCGCCAGTAATTCGTGGTAGCAGCCGATATCAAACACCTAGAAGTTTGAGTTCACAGTAAAAGAAAGGGTTACCAAAAGAGGCCAATCCCCCCCCCCCCCCCCCAAAAAAAAGAGAACACCCCTCAATGCTCTGTTGTAAACATACAGAGTTAGCACTGGTCAACCCAAGACTAAGAAATAGCTTATGTAAATCAGCCATTGCCCAGTGGGTTGAGAGAATAAACCTCAACATTTCCCCATCCAACAGAGATTCGGGGGATTCTGGAAACAGCGATCCCAATACATCTACAGGGTGACAAGGCTGACAAAGAAAGTTAACTGTAAGAGACATTTTTACTTCAACGCTTAAAGCCCTGAGCAGGTATTTTCCATAAGGAAACTGTCTTCTCCTCCCTTCCAGCTCCCAAAGTTTGCTGGTTAAAATATAAAAGGTTTCACAGCTGGTGAAGGGAAGGGATGTATTTTTCTCCCAATAAAAACAAAAAGGGGGAAGATTTTTATTTATTTTTTAGAAAAAGAAAGCTCTCTAAATGAGGGGGAGAATTAAAAATCCCTGATGGCCCAGCATCTGATTTAATTTTCTATTTGAGATACAAAGGCTGCTGCCCTGCATTAAAAGGAAGTTTACCAGCCTGTAAGTCTTGTGCTTTCCTCCCCAAATTTAAATGAAATTCTAGAACAGCATTTGCAAAATAATAAGCAGGGCTCCCCTATTTTTACTGGAAAGGCCTGTGCCATCCACTACATAAGGCCTGCCAGCACAGCTCTGCCAATAAACTCAGTGGACTCCTGCATGAAATGGTCCACTTTTCTTCCCTGATGGGCGGTGGAAAGAAACAGGGAGGTTATTTTTCCTTTCAGACTGTGGGCAAAAACTATTTAGAGCTACAGATCAGTAATTAGTATATTGGGTCCACTTTCTGACAGAGACAGACAAGGCTAAAGGATTTCTGCATCCATAATTGTCCCAATGGGTTTTTATTACCAATCTGAAGAGTCCCGCCAAGGCTTCTTACTGATCTAGCTGTGCTTTCCAAGATAAGGGGAAAGGATACTTCTCCCCCCCCCCTTTCCCAATGTGGTACTAAGGACATAAGCAAACATCTATGGAGATTCTCAGTCATCCAGGTCATGGTTGTCCCAAAGGTGCTTTTTTTCAAGAGGCCACTGGACTTCCTGGTTTTTCTTTGAAGGCATTTCGCTTCTCATCCAAGAAGTTTCTTTAGCTCTGAAGAAGAGAGAGCTGAAGAAGGTTCTTAGATGAGAAGTGAAACGTCTTCAAAGAAAAACCAGGAAGTCCAGTGGCCTCTTTGAAAAAAAGCACCTTTGGGACAAGGACGTAAGCAGTGCCCCTCCCAATTTGGACTTCTGGCCCATCTCATCCAGCAGTCTGTCCTCATGGTGGCCAAAACAACTGTCCAAGGAAGTCCATTAGTCTCCCAGCAGATGGCCTTCAGTCATACCGACATTAAGGCTGATCCATGACTCTCCTAAGTTTTATGGTGTTCCATACAAATGCCAAGGAAGCTGTAATTTGGATGGTTTGGTTTTAGCCTGTTTGTGAACTCAAAACTGATTTACAACTATGATTTAATCAAAATTATAATCTCTGTGTATACCTCAGCACTCAATCATACATATTCCTTGGGTGAAATCATGTGAAAATGACAACCACATTTTAATCTAGTTCCTTAAGTTAACCCAAGCTACAGGGGCCCAGTTTCTGGTTCATTATTTTGTGCAAACTTTTAAGGATTGGGTTAATTCAGTAAAATGTGGTTGCATTAACTATGGACAAAGGTTTTATATGAGAAGTCTCACTGGGTTCAAAAAGATCTATAGTTAAGTGGGACAGGAACTTTCTAATCGTGTTTTCATTGCTTTTAAAAGATGGAGATGTGGAATTGTTGGGATCTCTGAGTATGTATTTCAAAGACACAGAACAAGAAAGATTGTGGGATATAGTAAGTTTCAAGATCTCTTTGCTTGTGAGAGCTTGTATAGGAGAATTAGGAGATACATGTATTTATTCAGTTTTCAAACCACTTCAATTAAAAAGAAACAAATAGAAGTGCTATAAGTTCTTCTTTAGAAAATGCTAGGGATACATACATTACCCTGTAAAATGGACTGGGCCCCACTGCATTTAATTTTAATCAAGAGTTCATATTTCTGACACTTCTAAGCAAGTGTCTCTTTAAGAGCAAGCGTATCTCCTTTATGACTTATGAATGAAAGTGCTCCAAAACTCCGAACACTAAAAAGTTACATCAATCCACCAATCATGAATGAATCAGTGCTTGAGACATGTAGAAGATTCAAAAGAATGCAATCACTTCATTGAAAATAATGAAGTATACTGCAAGTACCAGTAGGTAAGACCAATATTATGGGTAAATTCCCTGCACTTGCTTCCCTTAGGAATGAAGGTCAGAAAGTTTCAAAGACAGGTTAATATTATTACTAAGAATGAGACACCAGGTTGTCCAATTTAAGGTTAAATGGCATTTACTTTGTTATTGCAGAAATTACAGTAACAAAAAAAAATATAGGCTTTCTTTTAAGTGAAGAACTAAGGAGGTGAGTTTTTTCTTATCATGTCAAAATCTATTTTTGTCCTCTTTTGACATGGGACAACACTTGCTGCATTTCTATGTATGTAGAAATAAGACTCTGCCTAATTCAGTGGGTCATGCTCCAAGGTTAGCATGCACACGATTAAAGCATCCATCCTTACCAGTCTGATCACACTCTAGCAAAAAACTTTGGCATTCTATGAACTGTTTCACCACATCTGTATCCCCCCTTCTAGATCTTTGAAAAGTGGATGACAAAATGAAAATCTTTTACCTGGACAGATTAATCACTGTCCCAGTGCTCTATCCGAGAAAGAGGAAGTGCAAGTAGATTTTGCTAACACTGTATGAAGTCTAATCAGAATGAAATATCCACTATTTAATGTGTAGGGATGGTGCAGTACACTTCAACCCTGAATGACTGACTATACTCATAACTGTGTCTCCATGAAAAATCAGATCAATTTTCAAGCACAGGAAAAGGTGCAGGCTTTAAACAGCATTTTCCTTAACAGCCATGCAATACTGTCTCTCCAGGCTGACTTTTCAAAGGCTTTTTTTAAGTTGAATTGTATTATTTAGATCAGAATGCCTGATTCTTAACTACTTTTGAGGTCTGAGAAGGAAAGCAGAGTTCATACAGGAGGAGTGTAACAGTCACAAAGAGGTGCCCTGTAAAATTAAGATTGTTATATGAGGAGCCACATATGACACAGAAATTGTATTTAGAACAGGGGTCTCAAACTCGCGGCCCGCGGGCCAATTGCGGCCCGCAGGACGATATCCTGTGGCCCCCACCGTGATATGAAAGTATAATATTAGTGCGGCCCGCAGGGGGAATGGACCTCTGAAGGAAGTCCCGCCGGCCGTTCCTCGTCGTGGCTTCTTCTCCACCCTGAACTTTAACAAGTCCAAGTACAGGTCCAGACTTACTGATGATCATCTTCAAGCCATACTGAGGGTCTCAAGTGCCTCCTCTCTCAAGCCAAATGTGGCTCAGATATGTGAGAGGAAGCGTTGTCAAGTCTCTGGCAGCAAGGAGTAAGCTGGAGAAGCCATGTTCTGAGGAAACTGTTCGTGATCTTCATTCAATGTTCCATTCATGTGTTCAGGACAGTTCATGTATTGGAGAAATCATTAACTGTTGATGACATTTGAAGATTTTTTTTAACGTTTTTTGTGGAATCCCTTATGCGGCCCAGCCTCACCCAGCCTCTGCCTCCAGTGGCCCCCAGGTAAATTGAGTTTGAGACCCGATTTAGAAGGAACAAGGATGGGCTATGTGAATGCAATTATTATTGGAAATTTGCAAGTGCTGCAATTCAACTATCTCCTATGTTGGCATTTAAATTCTTGGGGAAATCAACATGTTTGTTACAAGGCAGATTTCTTCCTGGTTGCAAGAGGCATTATGGGAAAGCCCCCCCCAAAAAAACCCCAGCTTCTTAAACATTTCCACTGGAAGTATACAAGCTCTTTGCATGTTCACATGTAAGCATCTCATTTGGAGATATCAGTTGCTCTTTCTGCAGGATGCTAATAATATTTTAATTTCCATCTTTAATAAGCCAATGAACACATTTTAAATAATGATACGAATGGCCCTTTCCAGCACCTTGCAATAGACAACAAGCAAAATCAAATCCCCAGTGTAATATAAACAGCATAAAATACTGAAAGCTAAATTTCCATTAACATCCAGGAGCCATGATTCACAAGTGACCAATGAATGCATTTATATACTGCCCTGCAAAGCAAGTCTTTACAAGCAGCCAGAGAGTGCAATTTAATCTTCCCACCACATAACAGTCTAAATAAAAATCATCCACCAGTCAGCAGGACTGTACAAAGCTACTTTAATTATTTTAGGATGTTAATGGGCTTCTTGTTTGCCTCCAGCCATCAATGAAACCCAGGATTACAAGATCTCTTTACTGATTTATTATTTTAGAAAACCTTCACTGTGCGTTTTGGAAAAAAAAAACCTAAAATTGAAAAGACACAAAAATGACCATTTTCTCTATGTTGCCATCTGTTAAACTGATGAATGGCATAGAAAACTGGTGCATTAAGCAGCCAGGAAGAGTATACTGTACGCAGCACTTTAGGAACAAAGGAAACAGAATGGCCTCGGTGAATGGGTGCTAGTTTCCCCATAGACAAGCAGGAGGGGGTTTCCTCTCCCCCTCCCCCTTAGTTCACAATGAAACTAAAGAGGCTAGGGGGATGGGGAGCCAGCAACGCAACCAGGGTAAGCAACATTGTTTAATCTTAAAAATGCAATTCTGTAAGGCTTTTTGAATGGTTGCTCCAAGGTGGGGGGAACGGTATTTGCAAACAGCCCATCACTGTAAAAAGAAAAAAACAAACAAACAAACAAAAGGCCGGGCAGGCTAACGGATTAAAAAAAAAATCAGCTCTGCAAACTCAAAACCTTCGGATGATGTTTTTGGGAAGAGAAACCGGTACACGGGTGGCTTGCAGCTTTAGGCAAGGCGAAGCTACCAGCATGCAATTATTCACTTGGAGAGAGAGAGAGAGAGAGAGAGAGATGGATCTTTAGTTATTCGGGTTTTATCCCGCGTAAAATTGGAATTATCCTGGCGACGTTTCGACGAAATATTCGACGAAACCCGAATAACCGAAGATCCACATACAAATACCCGCGAAAACCTCAGAAAACAAATATATACATATACATATATACATACATACGTACATACATACATATATATATACACATATACATACATACATACATACATACATATACATACATACATACATGAATGATAAAATCCCTCTCCACCACCGTCCCCAGAAGTATCCTGATTAGGAATGATCGGCATGGTGCAAGTTTAAAAACAAAAAAAAATCGGAAGGAAAGGAAAGCGCTGCATCCAAGGGATTCCGATTTGAAACCCCACCCCCCCCCCCTTTTTTTCCCCCAGTCTTTCCTCCCCCCGCGGGGCTTTGGCTCTAGGCCACCGTTATAAACGTGGCCCATTGTCTGCAAAGTTGCCGAGAGCCGTTTAATTATGCCAGGCTTTTGTTTGTTTAATTAAATTTCCCCCAGCGCCTAAACCGGAGGCTCCCTTCCCCGGGCAAAGCACACCCACACATCCACACACTCTCTCCTTTGATTGAGTACCCTTCTAAAAATAAACTTGCTAGACACCGAGAAAGGCCCCGCTGCGCCTGCGAGCTTTGGGTGTGCAAGGAAGGCAAAGGCGGCAGGTTAAAGTTACCTTGCAAACCAGCTCCTCCTCGGTGTGCAGATGCACGGCCCGGAAAATGTGGTCTCCTTCCAGAGGCTCCAGCAATAAGTATTTCCCGATGCAAGAAACGCAATGCGACAAGTTCGGAGTCTCTGGCGGGCTCGGCGAGCCAAGGTTGGGGCTGAAACTCTGGCTGGATTCAGTCTGTCTTATAGACGAGAGCTCGTCGAAATCTTGGGTTTTATTCCGAGGTCTTCCATACCGCGCTATCGTGATTGGGGTTGACCTTTGTATGTTCATGGGGATGGAGAACAATCCCTCCCAAGAAATGCCCCCCCCTCCCAATTTTCTTCCTTTTTCTTTCCTTTCTCCCTCCCCTCCCAATTCTTTTGGTGCGATCAGGCCCCCTTTCGTGGCTGTGGTGGTAAGGGGGGGAAAAAAAGAGCGCTGGGAGGGCAGGTTTCTTGGAAGGATCTACAGTCCGGTTTCGCGGCGCGAAGCAGCAGGGGAAAGGACCGGCTCTCGTCGCTGGGAAAAAGGGGGCGTCGGGAGCGGGAAGGGGGGGGGCGTCGATCAATCCAGCGCTTCTCCCCGCCGCCTTCGATTGCGACGTTGCCGACCTCTTCACTCTTTAAAAAAAAAAAGTCCTGCAAAGTAGCGAACTGAGCGAAAGCGGAGCCTCCTTCACCCCCGCCCACCACCAAAGAAACGCCGCGTGGTTTTAATATCCAAACATCTGGGATCGTTATATCAGTCTCCGATTCCCACTCCGACTCGCGTGGAAATCTTCACGCGGGTTATTTGAACGACGGGCGTTTCTTTTTTTTTTTGCTCTTTCTTGCTTTTTCCAATAGGTTTTTTTTTTAAAAAAAAAATTAATAATAATAACCTGCTTTAAACTGTAGGGGGCGTCTGATCTCTTTTTTTCCCCCCTCTCGTGGAAAGGACTATATTCAGAGAAGCAACCCAAGACAAATAAATAATATTAATTTAAAAAAAAAATAGCAGCCGAGTTATTTTAACTTCAGCGGGATGGCCGAGAAGCATCCGCTTAACGGTGTGGGGAAGCCCGCCGTTGGATGGGAGCCGGGTTTCTTCGAATATCGAAGAATAGAAAAATGTTTTTTCTTCGGCGGAAGAAAAGAAAAAAGAAAAAGAAAAACGTTTCCCAAACTAAAATTAAAAAAAAAAAAGAAGCGCCGCTCCTTAACCGGGATAATGAAGGCTCCAGGAGCTGCAAGAAGAGCGCGTTGAATTGGTGGCGTTGCGCTTCCTTTGATCCGACGGAAAAGTGCAAGCGAGGACAAGAAGAAATCGATGCTCTTTAGCTTTCCATTGGCCTGGAGACGACGTCCGCTCTTCCTTCGTCGTTCCCCCGGATGGTTGGAGTGCAGTTGCACATGCAAACAAAAAGAAAAGAAAAGAAAAAAAAAAAAGACCACAAAGGACGGGGAGATAAAAGAGAGAGAGAGAAGAGGGGGAAAAATCACCCTCCCGACGATCTTCTCGGCCCCTTTTCCCCAGACTCCTGAGATGCAGACTAGGAAGAAGGCAGGCGATGCAGCCACTTCAATGCGAACCACTGTCTATTGCAGGCGCCGTTCTTTATTCCTTAGAAGAGGGAGGAGGAGGAGGAGTGGGGAGGAAAGGGATGGCCGAGCCAATCCCTTTCAGCAAGCCATCGTCTCTTCTTCACCATGTACGAATAGGCTACTCACGGGGCTAAGAGTCTTTCTTCAGCTCGCCGTGCCTCCCTACTCGGGGAGGGGGGGGTCAGAAGCGGCGGCGGCGGTTCCGACGTTCCACGGACCCCGCGCACAGGCTGACTGCCCGCTCCTCACCGCGGCGCAGCGCTCTGGCTGCCAGCAGAAACGCCCGGCCTCCCGCCCGCCCCCCCCGACCCGAGCGGCTTTCCTATTGAGCCAAGGAAGCGTCAATCGCGCGAGCAAGCCTCCCAATCCCCTCCAAGTCTCCTCCTCCTCCTCCTCGTCTTTCTCCTTTCCCACTCATTCAATGAGCCGGTTGCAGGGTAAACAAGGTGAAATATCCTTCCGCTGAGCAGGCTGTGAAATACGAGCTTTGTGAGCCCTTTCTAGCGGCTACTGTTGCTACTACAGGGCTGCTGCTGCTACTACGGCGGCGTTTCATTGACCTCTGCGCGTTTCCGTTTGGGCCGTGGAGTTCTTTCTTCTCTCTCTCTCTCTCTCTCTGTGTGTGCGCGCGCGCGCGTTTTCCCCGGAGAGATGCATTTGGGCCATTTTTTTCTTTTATGAATTAAATGACTCGCTTTAACGGATCGTGTAAACACAATGCAACTATAAACGCGTTTTCTTTCTATTTTACCTTGTGTTTAAAAAAAAAAATGGATCGTTTGCTCATCCGGAATATAAAAAGATCACCTTAAGAAGAAGAAGAAGAAAAAACCCCACCAAGTTTACGTATATTGCATAATGCTAAAATAAAAATCTGTTTTTTTATTGACTGATAGGAGAAAATGCAATTAGGTCATGTTTTAACTCTGGAAAGCCCAGGGTACACCCACCCAAATGGCTAATATCTTAATACCGTGGTGGCAGGAGGCTGCACTTTCCCAGGCAACTTAAATTTGGATGATACATTCTGTTAATGGTCATGATTTGATTAAGCGTAGCTTGATTAAATCACATATGGTTTAAGAATATGTTGCACTAAGTCTATCAGCTATGGTTTATAAACCCCAATCAAACTTAACATTAATTGTTGTAAATGTGTAAACTCATCTTTTGGCTTAGTCTGGGATAGCTGATGATACTTATCTGATGCAGCAACCCCTTTCTCTTTGTTCAAATGAGATACACCCCATTTATCCAATCTTCCTTTGATCTGATTGACCCAACCTCTTGTCAACAGCAGTCCAGCTGCAGATGGTTTCATTTGCTCTTTTGGCTAATTTGCATTTGATAGTCCGGAACCTAGCACTTTTGCTGGTGAAATATGTGGGGTGTAACATATAAGGTAAAGATAAATACTACATTGCCACATAATTCTGGAGCAGTCCAAATGGCTAAATTCCCACGCTGTACTAGATGTTCTTTGAGTTTGACACATGAATCCAAATAACACATGGCTTAATTAACAAACAATGGTTAACACATGAGAATCCAGCCATTGTTACTCTTTGTAGAATATAGAGGCTAGGGGTTTCATCTCAGAAGATGGAAAATATTTAATATTTTTTGTAGAGTAACTATATTTAATTGTAGTTTTAAAAAAATGAAATTAGAGTATCTCCTGACCTCATTACTTACAGTACTTCATTACTGTACCAGCGGACACAACCCTCTAAAAACAAATGTGGCCCTTGAACCCGAACAAAGTTGAAAAACCTTATTAGTTCAGTTGAAACACTGGCCTTCTTCTATGAATTTGGATTGTCAGTTGATTTGGACCCTCAGCAAAAAAAAAAAGTGTTATTGAATTAATAATGCATAAATGCATTTTTGTTGCCACCTAGCCATCCTTGATTGATCTTGAAAAACTTAGTAGGACTAGATCTTTTCATACTTGGATCACTAGATATTAATTATCTCCCATCCAAGTATAAACTATTGATTAGATTGAGAAATTGGAGGAAAAAAATATCCTGCAAGAAGACAATAGAAAATTAAGGGTGGGGTGGAAGAAGCCTACTGTGGCTATGTGGGAAACTCAAATGGGTGTCAAACTGGCAGCCCACAGACCGGATGCGTCACACATAGGCCACGCCCACTCCAGCTCCATGAAGGGAAACGTGGCGATACATCACATGACGGCATGACTTTGACACCCATGAGAGGATTCTTGACTTGTATTATGGTTGTTTTCTAGGATGATAAATTAAAGAATTTGACACAGAGAAGTACTGCAGAAAAAAGCATTTTTATCTGATGCCTTGTAATAGGATCACTTCACTACACAGGACCTCCCTCCCCCCCCCCATAGTTTTAATAGCACTTTATTTTAACAATGTGACTGACAGAAATGAATGCAGCGATCATTATTTTCCTGCCCTTTTTATCCTGCTTCTTCTTTCTTTTGTATCAGGCCAGGAAGGCAAGTAAACAGTGCGGAGCCCAAGAGTAGTTCTAAAGGGAAAACAATGACTATCAAATTTAAAAAAAACTTCATAATAGAATGTATCATTTGAAGAAAAAAAAATGCTATTATCTCCTGATGAGAAAATGTACCTAGGATACCAATATAAATCAAAACTAGATGGGTGGCAAAATGAATTTTTGATTAGCTTTTGCAAAGTGTGAAAGCAATTTTCTTCAAGTAGAAAGCATAGCTCGGAATCCCTTTGAAAACTTGGAAAAGCTACACAGTAGATTGAGAGGGTTTCATGGTGGCAAGGTTGAAAGAGCTTTCAACAAATGCTGAAAATGTGTGTGACTTCAGCAATCCTCGTCAAGGTTCTTGGAAAACAGATGTTCATGCAAAAATTTTACTTTGTGCCTTTTTAAAATTCATCAGCAGGCAAGAGCCTGCCTGAAGACACAACTAAAGACATGAACACTAGCCTAAAATATTGTGAAAGAGGAGAAGAGAGGTGGATCCAATCATCTCAAAAACCCAACTACTGCAAAGTTAGAGCCTCACGGAGCTAGGTAACCTGCTCTGGGAGTGTGGGTGGGATGCAGAAAAAGAGAATGGAATAACGAATCCACCCCCCCACCCCCCCGCAAAAAAGGTTCTAAAATGTCAAGATGGGAGCTGCAGCCTCTTGACCAAAGCCTTGCCCCCCCCTTTTTTTTACATGTGTCAGTCTCCTGCCCATCTGCCAGAGAACTAAGGTGGCCCTGCAGTAGCGGTTTTAGGTAGTCATCAGTCTGTGGTTTAGGGACAAGACTTGGGGAAGAGAAATTCACCCAGCTGGTGTGCATGGATGGTTGCTTTACGAATGATGAAAGGCTTATCCTTTCTCCTTTGTTTCCATTTCTGATGCGCTTCCTACACCTGGAAACGTGACAAGAGAAGAAATGCACAGGAAGACTGGTTTCCTTAAAAAAAAAAAGATGGATATAAACGTGAGCTAATCAAGATACAAACAAGATAGGGCAAGTAGAATAAAAAGAACTCTGTAATGAATTCCAAATGCCTGAAAGCATTCAGAGAATACCTATCTGTACCTCCAGGGGATTTTTTTTTTTTTATCAGCTCTGTTAATGTGAGGTACTAAACCAGAAGGAAGTCGCCTTTTTTCATCCAGAGTCTGAATTAAGAATTATTGACTTTGACCTTGGTGACTTCTGACACCGATGAGAAGCTGTAATCAAACCTTTCCACTCCTTGTTGGTTGGAAGGAGTGTTGAAGGATAAGCTTTATGTTCCCATTTCAAATTTTACATCTTGCAAAAAAATGAACGAAATTTTATTTGCTTCTGGATGTTCCAGCTTGGGAGTTGCGGCTCCCATGCCTTGCCATAAGCCTGACCTTAGCGATACATCATGGCTTACAAACCACAATTTTTGGATTTACCTAACTTACTAAGCCAGAACCAAGCCAGTATATTGTTATTCAGTACCAGAGGTGGTATTCAGCAGGTTCTGACCAGTTCTGGAGAACCTGTAGCGGAAACTTTGAGTAGTTTGGAGAACTGGCAAATATCACCTCTGACTGGCCCCGCCCCCATCTATTCTCTGCCTCCCAAGTCCCAGCTGATCGGCTGGGTCTTCTTTTGCTGCCCTGCACAGGAGAACGGAGTTGGAAAGCAGGTTAGTGGGGTGGGGAGGGAATGGGGATTTTGAAGTAACCTTCCCTGCCATGCCCACCAAGCCACGCCCACAGAACTGGTAGTAAAAATTTTTGAATCCCACCACTGTTCAGTACAAAGCGCTTACTTATTGTTTGCTTTCTTCATACATGAAAAGGGAGGGAAAGGTAGAATCAGTACCAAAATGAGAGCTGGAAAGAGAACACAGAAGCAACAGGGTCTCTTTAACATTTCAATATTTTAAAGCAAAAGCAAAACTTCCTAGCTTTCCCACCTAGTTTATGGGAAACAAATCAGGAAAAAGCCACAGACTGTTCTGCAAAGCCAAAAATCTCTATTGTCATATTTCTAAGAAGAAAAACAATATTGTTGTTTCAATAAAAGTGCAAAGCAGCAGCAGAGATACTTAGCAGCCCAGCATTTGGGAAATTGGTTCCTTTGATGTACAGTATATTACAGGAATCAGTTAGGAAAAGAAAGGCATTTTTGTATCAGTGATCAATGAATCTCTGGAAAACTTGGTTTAACTTGGAATGGTTAATTTCTTACTACCAAGTTAAATTTAGTTCTACAGCACCACATGTGGTGCAGTATTGGATGTCCTTGTTTTTCCGTACATAGAATCTTTCCCAACAAGAGGTAGACCTTGGTTTTTGTCTATGGAAAGTCTCAATCATCCAGGTCACAGTTGTCCTAAAGGGCAATTGGACTTTCTTGGGTTTTTTTTTTCTTTGAAAATGTTTCACTTCTCATCCATGAAGCTTTTTCAGTTCCTGAAAAAAAGTGAAGAAGCTGCATGGATAAGAAGTGAAATATTTTCAAAGAAAGAAACCCCCTCCCCAAGATTAAAGATTTCCATCTAGATTATAGTGAGACCATAATGTCTATCGTGTGACCCAGTGGCTGGAGTACAGGAGTAGGCCTGGGGAGATTCATGTTTTTTGCCCATAATGTATGAGGAGGGACACCATCCCATAGGGAATAGACTTACTAGGTTTGGGCTGATGGTTACCTGGGGCTCCAGTTGCTAAAATATCCACCTCTATCTTGGCTAAAATAAGACTAAGCCATGGACACTAAGCCACGGACACATCTTGCTTCTCATAATAATGATAGCATTTTCC